CTCAGGGGGACCATATGGGATGCTGGGAATCAAACCCAGGTCGGCTGCGTGGAAAGCAAAGACCCTACCTGCTGTACTACCACTCCAGCCGCAACACCCTGTTTCTTTTAACTGTTTGAGGATAGAGGACAAGTCCTGTAGAATCCTCTCCAGAGGACTACAGAAAAGTGAAGGTTTCTAGGCCACTCATGACCAGGTGTAAGGCATGTTCCTTCTTGTTTCCCAAAAACCCAGAAGGAGGGGCTGGAAAAATAATTACAGGGGTTAAGCCACCTGTTTTGCTTGCGACTGTCTCTACTTGTTCCTTTACACCGCATATGGTTCCCCAGCACTGCTGGGAGTGACCTCTGAGCAAGTAACCAGCAAAATCAGGTGTAATTCAAGTCCTCCATGCCCCCCCCCAAAAAAAAAGAAACACACACACACACAGAACCCAAGAGAACCTGTCTTTACTATTTGTCAGTGCAAAAAGTCCTCAGATGAGTCTGAAGGCATGGGGCTCCCTGGCTAGGTCAGAGCCACACAGATGGACCCAGGATGTCGTGGCAGCTCCCCTTAAGCATCAAGGCTTTTTAATGGACGCTTTCTGGTTCTAAGGTATTAAGTCTTGGAACCAGAAGTGGAAATAGACTCTGTTGGCATGATTTGTCCTCAGGAAACTAGACATGTAATGTGGTTTCCTCTCCAGAATATAATTTCCTTATTTTGTGGAACCCATTTTATCTTCGGAATACTAGCAGATAATTTAGGCAAGAATCTAACACCAGCTAGAGAGATAATACAGTGCATGCAACCAACTCAGATTTGATCCCCGGAACAGTATATGGTCCCCTGAGCCACCATCAAGAGTGGTCCTGAGTGAAGAGCCTTGTGTAAGTCCTGAGTACCACCAGGTGTGGCCAAAAATGAAGAATAAAAAGAACCTGACATCTGTAAACCCCCATCCTATTGTGTAACCATAATGCACTGCAACCTATTTCCCTCCCGCCCTCCCCTGCAGTGGGACGCCTTCAGCATGCCTGAACTGCACAACTTTCTGCGTATCCTGCAGCGGGAGGAGGAGGAACACCTTCGACAGATCCTGCAGAAGTATTCCTATTGCCGACAGAAGATCCAAGAGGCCCTACATGCCTGCCCCCTGGGATGACCTCTTGTACCCCTGGTGGAAGGAGGGGAGTAGGCAACGCCAAGGGCATGCCGTGTGAATGTGACAGGGCCTGTGTGGCCTGAAGAATGAGTGTGCATGGAGGCCCTCTCACTGGGGAACAAGCCCAGAGAACAGAAGGAGTTGGCCCTGTGTCCACCAGTGGGTATAGCAGAGCAAGGCTCTGCACTCTTTGGCCCTTTGTGTACTGGGTCAGGGTGGACCAGGGTTGCCCTGGGAAGCTGCTCCAGGCAGCAGGGGTAGTGCAGACAGAAATATCCTTAATTTGGATCTCAGATACAACATTCTTGGAGAACCTACAACAATAGGGTCATGTTTGCCAGGAGCAGGGCCTTCATCTGTGGGAAAAGGTTGTATGTTTTGGGTCTTGGATGAGGGGTCAGGACGGTAGAACCAAGAGTCAGAGAGTAGAACCAAGGAGTCAGGGTAAGGCAATCATCAAGAAGAGTCTCACTGGGCCAGAGAGATAGTGCAGGGGTTAAGGTGTTTGGCTTGCCTGCAGCCAACCCTACTTTGATCCCTGGAACAGCATGGTCCCCCAAGCATTGCTAGGAAAGACTGAGCACCACTGGGTGTGGCCCCAATTTTTTTTTTTTTTTTTAAGAAAAGTGTCTTGGTTTCCCTCTGCAATGTCCTGACTCCTGCTAAGGTCTAGGTGCCACAGCCTTGGGCCAGGGAATACTGGCTCAAAGTGCAGCAACAGTGCCTAAGTGCCTCCTCCCAAGAGGATGTCCTGGGTCAGGTTTTGAGTGTGAGCACTGACCCAGATCTGTGCCTTGCTTGCCAGCCAAAGCCGTGGTTTTTCCCTCAAGTATTTTTGATGATGTGTGCGAATGTATGTAATAGTTTGTGGCCTCAGCTGAATGCCTCCTGTGGGGGAAGGGGTGGGGGTAACAGTCATCATCAGGGCACGGGGCCTGAGAGATTTGGCTAAATAAAACTTTAACAGTTCTCCTGCCTTTGTAGTCTTCTTAAGGACACTCGGGTGCTGTTTCCCCTTCATGCCAGTTACTGCCAGGACAGCATCCCTGCAGTCACCACAGGACTAATTTATGAGGAATGTGGGGTAGGAGGGGTATTCAGTCTTCACTCAGTCATTGGGAGCTCAGTGCATAGAGGGCACAAGGGTAGCTCGAGCTTAGGAAAACACACAGACACACCTGAATTGTGTCTCTCAGCAATTCACATACCACTGTGGACCAGACATTGCTCATGGCACTTGATTATTCCTCTCCCCACGTTCTGAGCACTGCTGGGAGTGACTAAGTCTATGAGTGTTAATTATGTACGGGTGTTAATTCCTGCTTTCAAGAAGCATTCACTTTGGTGATCTTGGAAAGGACACTGAATTTGGTTTCTTTTGGGTATCAGAGACTGAATTCAGGATTTTATATATTTTAAGAATATACTTTTTTTTTTATTAGTGAAACACCAAGAATATACTCTTAATAGTGACCGATGGGCTGGAGCAATAGCACAGTGGTAGGGCATTTGCCTTGCACACAGCCGGCCCGGCCGAGCCGGGTTTGATTCCTTCGCCCATCTCAGAGAGCCTGGCAAGCTACTGAAAGTATCTCACCCGCACGGCAAAGCCTGGCAAGCTACCCATGACGTATTCAATATGTTAAACATAGTAACAACAAATCTCATGGTGGAGATGTTACTGGGCCCGCTCGAGCAAATCTATGAACCACAGGAGGACAGTGACAGTGACCAATATTTCCTGCCCAAGGCCACTGAATTTCAAGTTTTTAGATTTGAATGTAGCTATACAATATTTGATCAATTCCTTAACTTTGGGGCTGAGGTGGAAACTTTGTGCTGTATACTGTAGAGCTCAGGACCTACTCTTAGATCTGTGCTTAGGGGTCACTCCTAGTGGTGTCAGGGCAGGAGTGGGGGGGGCATATATGCAGTGCTGGGGACTGAACCAGAGCCAGGAATGAAACTATAGACAGCCACATGGAAGGTAAGCCCCTTAATTCCTACACTCTTGCCTCCCAATTTTTAAAATTTTCTTTAGGTTTGGTTTGAAGGAGGTAGTGTGATAAGGGGCCCCTTGGCAATACATTTGTCATAAATACATGACGTAAACTGTCATAAAAGGAACTGGAGCAATAGCACAGTGAATAAAAGCAAAAAAAAAAAAAAAAAGTCATAAAATCAAGATGGAGTTCCCGCCATTATCCCAGACACCCTGCCTCCTGAGGATGCAATAGAAACAAAGATGTTGGGGTCAAAGAGATAGTAGGTAAAGTGCTGGCCTTGCATGTGGCAGAGCTGTTCAATCCCTGGCATTGCCTATGGTCCATTGACCACTACCAGGAGTGATCCCTAAGTGCAGGGCTAGGGGTAAGTCCTGAGCACAACTGAGTGTAGTCTAAACCACCACCCCCCAAAAAACAAAACAAAAAACCTGGAAAAGGCCTGGATAAGACTATAAAATGAGGGTCAAAGATAGTAAAAGGTTTACAGCATCCTACCAAACCCATTCTGAATGTTCAGCACAACATATGGTCCCCTGTATGCTACCAGAGGTCACACCTGAGGACAAAGCCAGAAGTGAAGGGTGTAGCCCAACCCACCCCTCACCATTAAAAAAAAAGTAAATGAGGAGAGGTAGCTTAATTGGCAGAGTGCATGCTTTGCTTTCAGAAAGCTTGGGATCAGTCCCTGATGCCCCATTGTTACCAGAGTGCAGTAAGAGCTGACCCCCAAAGGCAGCCAGATCAAGACGTAGCCACACACACACACACACACACACACACACACACACACACACAACCCATCGTCCCCTTCCCCCCCCCCCACACACACACACACAAAAGACTAAATGAAGAGACCATCAGAACTCAGATCTTTTCCCTTGACTAAGCCCTAGTTTTTCATTGGAACTAGCCTGGGGTGGCTTGGAAAAGGCCTATAAAATCAGCTAACCATCAGTGCTACATTGAACCTGGGGGCTTCCATATGCAAAACACCCATTAATAAAGCCCTTTAAGCCATCTTTCTGTCTGGGTTTGGTTTTGAGGCCACACCCAGCGGCGATGCTCAGGGATTAGTTCTGGTTCTCTGCTCTGGGATCACTCCTGGCAGTGGCTGCTCAACCAAGCGTGGTGCTGGGGTTTGAAACCACTTTTGCCACATGCAAGGCAGACGCCTAACCCGCTGTATTACCCTTGAACCACTTCTTTGACCCCTTTAACTTTACGGAATTCTCTCCTGCCATATTCCCCTAAATTAAATGTATTTTGATTTAATGACATCTCCTGAAATTCTTTATGGAAGAATAAGAAATGAAATTAGGAACCTGAGTTCAGGACTTTACTGCCCATCCAATGTCATAAAAAGAGTTTATGCAGACTTCTTCCCGGAACGTATCAGGTAAGGTGGTTGTGGGCCGAAACAGGACACTGTCAGCTGGGTCAGCACCACCCAGCTTTCTTCTCCACACGTGACTGGGCGATCGCAAAAAAAAAAAAAAAAAATGGAGTTTGAGTAGAATGAGGTCAGAATCTATCAAGCGGCCGGTCCTGCAGTGAAACCCTAAAATACTGACTTGTCCACAAGGTATTTGGCCCACACACGCGACCGCAAATCTGGTGGTGGGAGAGCTCAGCAGCCCCACGACCCGCCGTAAACGCTACGATGCACCCGGGGGTGGCAGCGCCCCACCAAGAAAGTGCGTGGCCTGCTGGGACCTGAAGTCTCGCTGTGCCTGGTGGGATGCTTAGCATCGAGAGCGGTTATTGGTCCTGCCTTGCGAACCGACAAGCGAAGCAGCCAATCCAAGAGGGGAGCGTGCGGAAGCGGAAGTGAAGTTTCCGTGGAGACAGAGGAGCCTGCGGAAGGTGGCGGCGGCGGCGGCGCACCTGTGAGCGGAGGCCGAGGCGGGGCATGGCGGCGCCCACGGCCCTGTGAGAGCGTAGCGGCCGCGGGGCCCGCCATGCGCCGGCGGCCCTGACATGGGCGCCAGCGGCTCCAAAGCTCGGGGCCTGTGGCCCTTCGCTTCGGCGGCAGGGGGCGGCGGCCCGGAGGCAGCGGTCACTGAGCAGGCTTTGGTGCGGCCGCGAAGCCGAGTCGTGCCCCCGTTCGTATTCACGCGCCGCGGGTAAGGGCGCGGGTTCCGCCCCGGGGAGGACAGTGGGCGGGCGGCCGGGAACCCTGTGTCTTGGAAAGCTTACACCACCGTCCGCAACCCCCCAGCCCCCCGCACCCCAGGAGACTCCCATTATTTTAGGCCCCCATAGTAACAAGAGATTGGGAGTCGTGCTGTTGCTTCCTGGTGCCCTGCCTGCACTGACGGACTCCCTAGGGGAAGGGGCTTGTCCGGGCAGGCCCTCCGCACTGTTAGCTAGAGTAGGCCTCCCTGAGACCTCAGGACCCTCACAGTCGGCAGCATGCAAGGTGAAGCCTCCCAACTCCCTCTCCAAGTCTTTGAGTGGAGATGACCCACAGTTGGGGCTGTTCCAGTTCCTCACTGTGGAGGGATCGGGCTGCTGAGAGTGTTGGGGACGAGGCCTGGGGGGAAACCTCAGCATCCAGGCGTGTTCTGATCCTGAGTGCTGACCGCCCTCTCCCGCAGCACCCCAAACAGGAGCACTAGATTGGCCTGTCCCGGGTGGGGCCCTGGGGACTGGTACTCAGGCGATGCTGGAGATTTGGCTCTCCATATCAGAGAAACCAAATAGAGGCAGTTTGGCTGCACCAGCCACCCCTGGGTGGGTGCAGGGAAAATGCAGCTTTTTCCCTGTTAGTTTTCCTAGTTCTAATTCAGGTATCTGCTGTCTCAGACTTTGGCCCTGGAACAGTAATCTCTGTCCTTGTTTGCCATGCTGGAGATCGATCCCAGGGCCTGACACATGCTAGTCAAGCGCTCTGTCATTGAGTTCCATCAGAGGTTCCTGAGCCAGTGGTTACTTCTGGAACAGGACCAACATGCCCAGGCCACCATCCTTTGCACTCTAGAAGTCTTGGGTGAAGGCATGGGTGTGATGTTGGAACAATTACTTTTTTATATTTGGGCCACACCCAGCAGTGCTTAGGGATCCTGCCTGGCAAGGCTCAGGGGACCATATGTGGGGCAGGGGGTGGGGAAGGAAGGAGTGAACCTTGGCTCTATGCAGGGCAAGCACCTTAACCCCTGTACCCTCTCTAGCCCTGTTTTTTGTTTGTTTGCTTTTGGGCCACACCCAGCAATGCTAAGGGGTTTACTCCTAGCAGTGCTCAAGGCTTTGATGCGTGGGAAACGAGGTTGGCCACATGCAACGTTAACATCCTACTCCGCTGTGCTATTGCTCCGGTCCCACTGGAGTGACTGCATTGGCAGAACAAATCAGTGAAGAGAATTGATCTTGATTGCTTGGACAGTGGGCTCTGATATGGCTTCTCTTGGGGGTTGATAGCCACTATCCCTTTCCTACTTTCTTCTCAAAGACCCCCGACTTATGCAGGAGATTATCCAGACTTATCATTCATCCTTCCTTCAAGTGGGTATATTGTTCTCTGGTCTTTGGTATTTGCTATGTCGAGGTGTGGGTCTCCAGCCCAACCTTTTCCCCCTCTCCCTCTGCACAGCTCCATGTTCTATGATGAGGATGGAGATTTGGCTCACGAGTTCTATGAGGAGACAATCGTCACCAAGAATGGGCAGAAGCGGGCCAAGCTAAGGCGGGTGCATAAGAACTTGATTCCTCAGGTGAGGGGCTGGATAATGGTTACTGATCCTATGTTGACTGTATGGAGGTAGACTGAGATGGGATATGCTGTCATGGGGGGGCTGTTGGGAGAGGAGCTGGGAGGAACATTAAGACTTCCTCACATTGGAGCCCTGAGCAGTCCCTTACTGGCCTCTGTTTCCATGGCAGGGCATCGTGAAGTTGGATACACCCCGCATCCACGTGGATTTTCCTGTGATCCTCTATGAAGTGTGAGCCTGGGGGGATGGCAGGAATAAGCTTCCCCTGTCCCAACAAGAAACCCCCAGGCTCAAATGTGGCTTCCATTAAGAAACCTAGGCTGGGGCTACAACCCTGAATAAACTCCACTGGCCTGGAACCTTCAGCTATGAGCGGGATGGTCCTGCAATGTTGGTTGGGTGTTGGCTTCCGTGCGGGAAAGAGGTAGCTGGCATGGGCTACTGGTGGAATTACCAGCTCACCTTCCCCAGCAATCCCTGCAAGGAGCATGGTAGGGCTGATGAGAAATACCTGGTTTCTGGGCCCTTGCCTAGCCTGCTTTCTTCCAAATTTGCCTAGGGTCTAGCCCTGCTAAGGGCTACAGCACTTTACAAGCAAGGTCTGCCTTCTTCCAGCCCCAGGGCTGTGGGAGCTGTATGCAAGTGGGAACTTCCTTTCCCTTGCTTTCCTTACCCCTTTGTCAGAGCGTTTCAGCCGTTTGCTACCTCGATTCCTCCTGTGATGGACAGATGCTGGAGGCAGTGCAAGCCTGATTTTGCCTGTCTGCCTGCCTGTTCCCACCTCCAGATGGACGGACAGTTTACTGGCTGTAAAAGGAGTAGACACTGTTGTGGAAGAGACTTTTCCTCCCACCCAGGGCAGGGCTGTGGATGCCCATACCTATGGACCGCTGCCCCAGCCCATCTACTCTGACCCACTTTGCGTCAGGTCTTCACCCCCCCTCCCCCCAAACACCCTACCCCTGTTGGCAGGAGACCATCTACCACCCTGTGAAAGAAAGCACCCTAGGATTGATGCCAGTAACACTGAGGAGCCCACCACTCCTTTCCCTACAGTCTCCCCACCCCTTCAGGATCAGTCAAGGAAAAGTTCTGCAGTCACTGGGTAAGGACAGAAAGGAAAGAACAACCATAAAAGGATATTTCAAATGTGAAAGTTTGTAAATAGTCTAGTCCATGATGTTGTTGGGGCAGAGTCTGATTTCTACATTGAAATGACTTTTTTTTTATATATATATATATAATTTCCTTATTGTGCAAGCTCTGTGCTTTAAGAGTGTGGAAAGTGGCTTGGGGAGGGTGGCCCCCCACCTAGGAAGACTGTTGTGTTCTATGTTCAGTTTCAATAAAATGATTTGTAGACCCTGCATACAAAGTGGCATCCTCTGAGACTGTGACACCTGGAACCTGACTCCCTTTGGCAAACTAGGGAGGCCTGCGCCAGGAGCCCTGAGGGTAAACCTGCGGCCATCCCAGCTGTGACCAGCATGTGGCAGTATAGTCACGCAGACCTCACTGCAGCCCCCTCACCTCAGGATGGGAGGGGGCATTCACTTGCCTATTGTGTTCAATAGGTAAGAAAAGAACCCCTGGAATTGTTAAGGCCTTGAGATTCCTCTGTAGGAATTGACCCCACCTCTCCTGATCACAGGTGAGAATGTTACCTCCAGTAGGGAATGGAGCAGCTCTCTGGCCTCTACATCAGCTGACTTACGAGGTCACAGACTGAGCTCCATAGATCTCGAAGGCCCAGCTATATGTGGACAGCAGCCAGGTGGGTGCCGCTACACCTTGTTGCCCTCTGCCAGGCTCTGCAACCCAAACCCTCCCAGGCTGCCTGTGGACACCACGGAGAGAGCAGACTGCTGTAGAGGACAAAGCTCAGCTACCACTATTTCCTGTTTCCTGCTGCCTATCTTCTCACCTGCACCCCACCTAACCCCACCCCACCCCATCCTGCCTCATGGATATTGGACCCACACTTCAGGGCCTGCTGATGAGCTGGTTCTTTGCCTAACCCTTAGCAATCTGCTCAACTCCCAAGTTGGAAGGAGGGAATTCAGGGAGACAGACTCTGGGGTCTGAGAAGCTGACCTGCCAGTCTTTTGGAGACCTAAACTTGAAACACTGCTGCCTGAACTTTGTTTCTTCTGTGGGGGCACCTTCTATCCTGGTAAGATGCTAGACATAAGGCCCTGTCATCCTCCACTGTCCCCCTATATTGTCTTTTTTTGTTTCTGTTTTGTGGCTACACCCAGTCATGCTCAGGGGTTACTCCTAACTGCACTCTTGGTGGTGCTCGGGGACCATATGGGATGCTGAGAATCAAACCTGGGTTGGCCAAGTGCAAGGCAAACACAACTCTCTCCAGCTCCCGGTCCCCCTCTATTGGCTGCCTCATTGCCAGGGTTCTCTGCGTCAGATGGCATCCCATCTCCTGTCACCACTGTCCCAGTATGGGGAACTCCCTGTGTTGGGCCTGGCCCAGCTGACCCCAAATCTGGAAACAATGGGGGTCAGGGTAGTGCTTCCACACTCCCTCCCAGTGGGTTGTGCTCACTTCCTTCCTGCTGACTGCCTGAGGAAGTTCCCTGCCCTGGGACAGTCTGGCCTAGCCTTTGTTTCCCCAGGGGCCCCACCCTTGGAGTGTCCAAGGCCTGTCCATGTGACACAGGAAGGCCACCCTCCTATGCTATGTCCAGACACACCAGGGTGTGTCCCACTACTAACTGGTCTTCCAATAGCCTTCTGTGAAGAGACCCCTGCATCAGGCTAGTAGGGTCTGGAGGGTGCAATTCTGTCTACGCCTCTGGAGGAACCTGCTGTGATCTTGCAGCCCTCCCCAGGACAAGCAAAGTTACAGGCACCCCTTTCCTCACCCGGTTTATAAGAAGCCCCCTACTCTGCAATGACTTGGTGAAATTCACTGGGGAATATCGACTAGCAGAAATCCTGTCCCACCCCCTACCCTGTAGTCACATCCATCAACACTGTCCACTCAGCTACACTGGGGACACTTCCGCTCTCACTGGAAAAGTTGACTCAGTTCCTGAAGTTGCCCCAACCCCCTCTCCAGTGCTCAGTCTTTTCTTTCACCACCTGCTGTGGGGGGGACTTCAACCATCAGCATTCCTTCCATCCCCCAGGGGAAGCAGAGAAGCCCAGCTTCTCCACTCCCCATGGGGAAGGAATGGTTGGAGAGAAGAGCTAACCCTTAATTAAGGACGCTGTGGGCAAGGGGAATGCTGGCACCTGAGCCAAAGTCCCACAGCCTTCCTGTCACCTGAGGTGGTGCACCAGACGGCCTACTGGGAAGGGTGGGGAGGGCAGTCAGCCAACAGGGCATGCAGGAGGGAAGCAGGGTCAAGGCGGTCCCCTCCCCCGCGCCTGTTTCAGGCCCTTTCTTCTCCGAGGGGCAGCAGGAAGTGAGGAGAAAGGGCTGGGATGGGAGGCGGGAACGGGTGGGAGGGGATGGGGTTTATCAAGTCGGCGGTGGCTGCCCAGCGGGCAGCAGCTGGTGCAGACAGCTTGGCAGGAAAGTCATATCCCGGCAGGAGGGAGGCCGCGGGGGCCGCCGACCTCCAGGACAGACGGAGTCCCACACAGGTGAGCCCAAGGCAGGCTGGCTGACGACTCCTATATGCTTTCATTGCCGCGCCCCGCACCCCGCCCCATCTCTCTTCTCCCATCTGCCGCCAGCTCGGACCCCTGTTCTCTGGGGAGCTGAGCCCCACGCGGAGGAGCGCGTCTAGGAAGATGTGTAGGATTCAGCTGCCTGAAGGGGCTTTCGGGGTGGAATGGTTTAGGATACTGCGTGGAAGGCCCCGAGGAGCCTCTGGCTGGCCGGCTTTTTCCACAGTCGGGCCAGGAACTTACGCATGGGCGGCAGCTCCCACTGTGCCCCGCACCCCAGAGTGGGCAGAGTGGACAGCAGTCCAGGGCTCTCCCAGATCAGAGGCAGCGGGGGTGCCCTTAGCCCTGGCTGGGCTTACCGAGGTCAGCTGGCCACGCTGAGACCCAGGGCTCTCGTGTTGCCAAGACAACCAAAAGCCTGGCCCTACCCGGGGAGGGCTCAGGCGGACGCTCGCCCCCTCCCCTAGTCTGGGAGGCGGCCGTGCTTCCCTTCTGGCCCGGGACAGGTTCGGGGGGAGGGGAGCCGGGATCAGTTAGGGGGCGGGGCATTCCTGTGCTGGGAGGCCGGAGGTCGGTACCTCTTTCCACGCCAAGAGGCACCAGGGACTAGGGGCCACCCTGGGGTATAGAGCCACATCCGCCGCTGCCCCCAAACAAGGCCTGGGAGTCCCACAGCACCTCCTTACGGCTGTGAGGGCGAGCGCCGCCTCCTTTATTCTCTCCCCTACCACGTCTCTTTTGCGGTTCCTTTAAGGGGCTGGCCGCGGCGCGGAGCGAATCGGGCCGTACCACCGGCCGCAAGCGGCGGGGGCGAAATCTCAGGCTTGCTGACTCTGGCGGCTGAGACGGCGAGGGGAAGCCCGGTGCGGGGGGGTCCCCAGGTTTCACATGGGTATCCCTGTCATCGACGGAGAGCTGGGGGCCCCGAGTCGCAACATGCGGCGCAGGCAGCGTGAAAGGGGGGCATGTATTTCCCCCTGGGTCGCAAGTCCGGACCCGGGCCCGCCTCCGCGCTGGATTCTTAAAGGGCCCGAAGACTGGGGGGGCGGAGCCAGCCAAGGCGCCGAGCCGAGCTGGGACCGGTCCGGGGCCGAGCCGGGGCGAGCGGCCGGAGCGGGCCGGGCTGGGCCGCGGTTGGTGATGGCCATGGCGCGAGTCCCGGCGGCGCCCCGAGCGAGGTGAGGGCGGGCAGTGCAGACCTGATGGTCCTCTACCCGCAGGCTGGGTTCTGAGTCCCGGGGACGCGCTCTAAGAAGCAGACACCCACCCCACCCCACCCCACTGTCCCCAGCCGGGCTTAAGCCCCACGTGCGGGGCGGAGGCGGGGTCCCGCACAAAGGCCAGAGGGAAGGCGCTGGCTGGCGAGTGCGCGCTTTTAGGGTGGCTGGGAAGGGAAGGACTGCGGGCGCCACTGTGGGAGGTCCTGGTGTCCTTTGTCCTGGCGAAGCCTCCACCAAGCCCGGGAGAGCGTCTGCGCTCCAAAGTGCTGACAGCCACACTCTTGCCGGGCGGTGCTACACAGATACCAGCACCGTGGCTTCGTTCCAGCTTGCCAACTATTTCATGAGATTGCTGTGCCCAGCCTTATCCGAATGCCCTTTTATTTTTTTCTCTGTCTCAAAAGTTCTTCACAGAATGGAGTGGGTCGCGAATTCAGGGCTCAGAAATCTTGTGCTGGGTGGTATGCAGGCATGCATGTGATTGGGCAGTGAGCCCTTAGTTCAGTTGGTTCTATCCTTAGAGGGCACCCAGACTTAACAGCCATCACTGCCCTGCCATAGACCACCTGCTTCAGGAAAGAACCCTGTGTTCTTGGCAGTGAGGCCCCAGGTCTTGCCCCTCCGTGGCCTGTGGTTACAGCCATGAAAGAGATTTGCAGCTCTGGGCACAGTGCCCCATTCAGCTTGGCCTTTGGGAGTGTGGGTGGGTTTGTGGTGGGCACCTTCAGGACTCTCTAGACTGACTTGCTCTCTCCCACCTTTCTCCCAGTTCCTGAGTTGCTATCAGGCAGGTGACACAGTCTTCCTGCAATTCCCAGCATGTGGGCAAGCCTGGGTCCTGCTGTCACATTGGCCCTCGTGTTGGCAGTGGTATGGGCCTCAGAGCTCAAACCCACAGCACCACCCATCTTCACAGGCCGGCCCTTTGTGGTAGCATGGGACGTGCCCACACAGGACTGTGGCCCACGCCTCAAGGTGCCACTAGACCGGAAGGACCTGATGGACTTTGACGTGCAGGCCTCACCGAATGAGGGTTTTGTGAACCAGAACATCACCATCTTCTACCGTGACCGTTTGGGCTTGTATCCACGCTTCGATGCAGCAGGGAAGCCTGTGCATGGAGGTGTGCCACAGAATGGCAGCCTCTGGGCACACCTAAAGATGCTGCAGGAACACGTGGAGCACTACATTCGCACCCCGGAGCCCGCAGGCCTGGCAGTCATCGACTGGGAAGACTGGAGGCCTGTGTGGGTGCGCAACTGGCAGGACAAGGACGTATACCGCCGCTTCTCACGCCAGTTGGTGGCCCGTCAGCACCCTGACTGGTCGTCAGATCGTGTGGTCAAGGAGGCTCAGTACGAGTTTGAGATTGCTGCCCGGGAGTTCATGCTGGAGACTCTGCGCTTTGTCAAGGCAGTGCGGCCTCAGCACCTCTGGGGCTTCTACCTCTTCCCTGACTGTTACAACCACGATTATGTGCAGAACTGGGAGAGCTACACAGGCCGCTGCCCTGATGTAGAGGTTTCTCGAAACGACCAGCTGGCCTGGCTGTGGGCCGAGAGCACGGCCCTCTTCCCCTCCGTCTACCTAGATGAGACTCTTGCTTCCTCTGTCCAGGGTCGCAACTTTGTCAGCTTCCGCGTTCAGGAGGCCCTTCGCGTGGCACACACCCACCATGCCAACCATGCGCTCCCCGTCTATGTCTTCACTAGGCCTACCTATAGCCGCACGCTCACGGGGCTTAGCCAGGTATGTGTTCCCCCCACCCCCACCCCTGTAGGGCCTCCTACCTTCTTCCTCAGGGAACCACTGCAGGTTTGGCTTTCTGGGGCCTTCACCCTGTTGTTTACCAGCTGTCTGACCCCTCTCCACATTCTCTAGGCATATGAACAGATAGCGCCCTTATCCCTGTTTTGCAGATAAAAGAATTGAGGCTAAAGCAAGCTAGAAACGTATATATGAGCTAAGATCAGTTGGCTTGCAAATATGAGGCCCTGGATTCTTTCATCCTCAGTACCAAAACAAAAAGAAGAAAATGAAAAGGGCTGGAGAAATAGAGTAAGGGGGTGGGGTGGGTTTGGCTTATGCTTTGCATGCAGCAGGCCTGGGTTTAATCCCTAGTATTCCAGGGTCCCTAAACACTGTTGAGTGTGTCCTGCAAACCAAACACACACACACACACACACACACACACACACACACACACACAAAAAGACAAAAAAAAATGAGACTGAGGGGCCGGAGCAATAGCACAGTGGATAGGGTGTTTGCCTTGCACGCGGCCGACCCAGCTTCAATCCCTGGCATCCCATATGTCCCCCAAGCACAGCCAGGAGTAATTCCTGAGTGCAAAGCCAGGAGTAACCCCTGAGCATTGCTGGGTGTGACCCAAAAAGCAAAACAAAAAAAAAAATTGAGACTGAACTATGCTGAGACTTTTGCTCAAAAACTTCCTGGCAAACCCAGGATAGAGTGTGGATTTAGTTCATCCTGATAGGCCCGAGACTCCAACTGACCCTCACTTGGCAAACTAGGGCCCATAGTGGATATGGAAAGGGCTTCACCATTTCAGGGGAAAGTGAAACAGCCTCTCTGCCTGGTGGTGGGGAGGAGCTGCAAGGTCCACAGGTCAGAAGAGCTGAGGCCTGCCCATCTGTCCTCCCTCGGCCCTCTGGTCATCCCCTCTTCCCTTTCTTTTCTCACACAGATGGATCTCATCTCCACTATTGGCGAGAGTGCAGCCCTGGGTGCAGCTGGTGTTATCCTCTGGGGCGATGCTGGGTACACCACCAGCAATGTAAGTAAGACTTAGGCAACCTGCTGGGACTGAGTTGACAGGGACAGTGACGGACTTTGGGCTTGAAACATCAAGGTGGACAGAATCATAAAGGTAGTAGAGAGGGTAGGACACTGGTTCTGTATGTAGTCAGCCAGTCTGTCCTTGGCACCACATATGATCCTCCCAACACCACCAGGGTGTCTCTCAAAAATTCAAATAAAATACATAAAAAGACCTCAAGATGGGCATCCTAGTGTGACCTACTGGTTTGTCTCCCATCCATTGTGTCCCCAGACCCATCAGAGAACTTAGGACCCCTCTCCCGTTCACAGCAAAGGACATGCTGTGAACGGGAGAGGGCTTCTTAGCTTTGTTCCAATTGTGACCCCTTTCACTGACAAATGAGCAAAGACAAACACTGCCAGAAACAACTCAGATTCATTCCCTGTTTGATTTTGAAATCATTTTTACTTCTTGCACATTCAGAAACCCTTTATTTTTGCCATATTTGATGAGCTTGTGACCCACAGTTTAAGAGGCTAGGGTCTGGGCTTGGAGAGATAGGACAGAGCTAGCGGCGAAGCTAGTTTATTCCCCGGAACTATATATGGCCTTAAAAGCTAGAGCTGGGAGGAGTGCCCAGCACCGCCTGGTGTGGCTCAAACCGCTCCCCCAGCCCCCACAAAATACTTGCGTCTAGAAGAGCTTGTGCGTTTCCTCAGCAAGTGAGATTGCAGCCACAGATGTGTTACTCTCACATGTGTGCTGCTAAAAGCGTATGTGCTCACCTGAGCGTGAACACAAAACTACCATCTGGGCTGGGCTGAGGCAGCTAACCCTGATTCCTGATCTCTGCCCACAGAAGACGTGCCAGTACCTCAAGGACTACCTGACGCAGCTGCTGGTACCCTACATTGCCAACGTGTCCTGGGCGGCCCATTACTGCAGCTGGTCCCAGTGCCACAGCCACGGGCGCTGTGTGCGCCGTGATCCCAGTGCCAGTGCCTTCCTGCACCTCAGTGCCAGCAGCTTCCGGCTGGTGCCTGGCCACACCCCTGGTGAACCCCAGCTGCATCCAGAGGGGGAGCTCAGCCGTGCTGATCGCATCCACCTGCAAACACACTTTCGATGCCAGTGCTATCTAGGCTGGGGCGGCGAGCAGTGCCAGTGGGATCGCAGGGGGACTGCGGGAGGTGCCAGTCGGGCCTGGGCTGGGTCCCATGCCACTGGCCTGCTGGCATTAGCAGCACTGGTCTTCCCCTGGACTTTGTAGGGGTCTTTCACCAGGCAGCTGGTCAAACTGGCCTCTGCCGCAAGGGCTCTGCCAAGCTTACAGCAGCTTGTAGAGGGTGAACAAGCTGAAGTTGGGAGGGGGCAGTGCCCCTGAGATGTCCAGTGCAGTACTCACACCAGCACCCACCCCCCTGTTCTAAGGGGGAGGGGTAGTCCCGCAGAGGGGAAGAGGGGCAAAGGAGGGCCAGGGAACTTGACTGTACTCCCTGTACCTGGATAGTTTCTTATTATTATTGTTATTATTATTGTTATTATTGTTATTATTATTATTATTGGGGTGGTCTCTTTTGTAAATTAAATATAAAACAACTGCTTCTGCTCTTGAACTCTCAGGACCCGGGTCAGGGCATGTGTGAGATTCCAGGGTTTTCTATGCGTTTCGTGATATCTTGCTGGTGTCGGTTCTGTAAAGTGTGCTCCCTGGGAGCCACAGCTTTGCTGCTGGGCCCGCCCTGGGAGTGGAAGGACTCACATTCTGTCCCAGCACCACATACTTTGCTTCCTCCGTGTGGATCACACAGGCATTGGGTCCACTGTGTGTGTGCGTGAGGGGTGGGGCCCTTTGTGTTTCTCCCACTGCCCCTCTGCCCCCAGCTGGCCCAGTGCCAGTGCCTCGCCTTGCCCACCCAAGGAGAAAGGGGGAGTGATGTTTGATCTTCTGGCTGGGCAGGCGGCCAGCCCAGTTCTCCCTGCTGTTCGCACAGGCAGGGGCGCCTCCTCCGCTCTGCTCTCCCCTCTGGGCAGTGCGCCCCAGCCACGCACACCTCCCCCATTCTGGTTCATAGTCCTGCACTGGCTAAGATGGGAAAGAGGCAAGCTGGGAATTGGCGTCTGAACCTGTGGTTTTTGGCGTCACACCCGGCGATGCTCAGGGGTTACTCCTGGCTCTGCACTCAGGAATTACTCCTGGTGGTGTTCAGAGGACCATATGGGATGCTAGGAATCGAACCCGGGTCGGCCGAGTACAAGGCAAATGCCCTACCCACTGTGCTATCACTCCAGCCCCATGGTTTTTGTTTTCTAAAGCGGGGGGGGGGGGGGGGGGGGCAGGGGTGGGGAGGAACAGGGTGTTTTCTAAGCAGTGCTTGAGGTCACTCAGGCAATGCTCAGCCTAGTACTACTCAGGCCCCAGCAGTGCTGGCGACCACCAAGGTCTGGTAATAATGGGGTGATTGGGGGGCCATGCAATTCCAGGGACAAAACCCAGGACCTCCTCATGGTGGGCACATTCTCCAGTCCTCTGAGATGTCTTTCCAGCCTGAGGTCTTAGTCTTAGCATCAAGTCCACACCCGGCGCAGGGACGCCTGATAGGGCAAAGGAAGGGATCCTGAGCTGGGGCAGAGGTTCTCAAAGATCAGCTCTGTATTGGTCATGAGGTCCAGGGGTCAACTCCCCTGCTTCTGTGCCTCTGCCCATTTCTCCAGCCAAAATACCCACCCCATGCCCTCGGTCCCCCAAACCATACCAGTGTGGATTCGGCTTCTACTCAGGAATCTCTGGCTCGGGAACAGCCTGCTGAGTTGGGCAGCCCTCTGGGACTGCCAGCACACAAGGTATCCTGGAAGAAGTGTCACACTGAATAGGTGAGAAGAACCCTACAATGGGAACTAAAGGTGATAGAGGCGTCGGAGCACAGCTGGGGACTAAGGTGGAGACTGGGTGTCACAGGGCCAGAAAGAGAATACAGCAGGTAGAGTATTTGCCTTGCACACAGCCAACCCGGGCTCGATTTCCAGCACCCCACATGGTCCCTGAGCCTGCCAGAGTGACCCTGAGCACCACCAGGTGCAGGCCAAGAAAAACAGCATCAAAGTAGGGGTCATTGCAGGCAGAGGCAGGAGGTCAGTGATGGTGGTGATGTCGAACCCAATCCACAAACACTGTTGCATGTGTGGCAACACTGAGCTGGGTGCTGGGGAAAGATCAGGAAAAGTTAAAAATAAACTCACGGTATTAGGGATGCTCACAGGAACAATGATAAGCTTCTCTGGGAAGAAGAAAGGGGGAGGGCTGGAGCCATAGCACAGCAGGTTTGCCTTGCACACGGCCAACCGGGTTCAATCCCCAGCATCCCATATGGTCCCCTGAGCACCCCCAGGAGTAATTTCTGAGTACAGAGCCAGGAGTAACCCCTGTACATTGCTGGGTGCAAAAACAAAAGAAGAAAAGGAGCAATTCACTGATAAAGCCTAAAACGCTTAGGGTTAATATCCAGCAGTCATCCAGACATACCTGTGACCTTTTCTCCTAGCACTGACCCCTCCATGCCTGTAATGACCTGTGCATAGACCTGTAATCTCCCACTTGTCACTGACACAGTTATACACCACACTGTGGCTCACAGAAATCTGGGAGCCTGGAAGGGAATCGGGAAAGTGCAAGTTGGGGGCAGCCGAGCTGTATTTTGGGTAGCCAAGGACATGAAGTCATACAACCAGAAGAAGCAGGCTGAGTTTGGCCATAAAGCTGGTTTGCCCCAGACATGTCAGGTGCCAAGCCAGCCTGCCTGGTCTGGCAAGAGCTGGCTGGGTCTGAGCTGGTGGCTTATGGGCTCCAGGACCTGCTCTCTGTGCCCTCAGTGCCCTCAACTTCTTCCTGCTGTTTCTCCCGTGGACTGAGGCCAGCTGGATTGTGGGCAGTCTGGACTGTGCCAGTTGTATCATGTAGCATCTGGGGGAAGGTGTCCTTGTCTGATGTTCTCTCTCTGCACCCGGGAGACTTGTGCCAGACTCTCTTGACCAGTCTCTGCAGCCATCACCACCACAGCTGGTCCTGGGCTCCGGCTGTGATGGACACATCCCAGACCCTGGGGCCAAATCTTATTTAGCCCTGCCAGTTTCTCCAACCTCACCATCCTGAAAGACCAAACCCCAATGTTAGCCACTGTGACACTGCTCCAGTGGCCACCAGGCTGATGGGCGGGAGGACACAGTGGGAGTCCATGCCACAGACTCTAGCTCTGACCTGCTGTAAACCCAGTTGGCACTTTCTCTTGGGCCAGAGACAAGATGTTCCTTCAGCCCATCCTGGGACTAGCCTGATCCTGAGCTTGCCGGAACTTTGCCCGTCTCAGTTACCAGCTTCTGGATCAACAAACATATGAAACCACAAGAAGGTGAATAAGCATGAGCTCATGGTGCTCCGTGCACATGCCTGAAGTCATGTGACCACGGGGTCTTGTCAGCAGACAACAGGGTCTCACACCTTCATCCCGACACTGTTTCCCACACAGCACTGACAACCAGTAATTTGGGCATCACAGTCACTAACCCAGTTCAGCTACAAAGTAGCACCATGTTTCTGTTTGTCAAACATAGTACCTCTCAGAAACATGCTTAAAGTGGGGGTGCCTCTGATCCACTGGGCTCAGTTACTACAGGGCCACAGGCCACAGAACAAAGAAGTTTTTGTTCCTCATCGACTGCTTGCTATAAAGTCCCCTCAAGCTTTGACTTGAGAGCTGTTCCTAGCAGTGCTCAGTGGACCATTTGGTGTCAGAACCTGTGCTGTTCCCATGCAAAGCATGTACTCAGCTGATTGAACCATCTCCTTAGCCCCAACAAGAATGTTACAGGTTTTGGATGTGAGGTTACGCTACACCCAGTATGGCATAAGGGCTGCTTCTGGCTTTATTGAAGGCTACGTGAACCCAAGACTTCTGCATGCAACTCACGCAGTCCAACCCCTTAAGTTATCACCTTGCCTCCCACTAAATGTTTTAATTTGAGCTGTGGAGATAATTCTAGCTCTGGAGCTGAGGTCTGGCATGAATAGGGCCCTGGTTTGAGCCCCAGCAACAAGGGCCTCTTGAGCTCCACCTGGTGTAACCCTGGTTACCTCCAGCACTGTTGGGGAGATAGGAAAAAAGCGATAATGCAAGGTTTCATTTTGTCTTTTTTAATCAGAAGGAAAGCATACTAATGAATATATATACACACATGCACACACATGTTAATAAACTCAATCTGGATTCTATTTGGGAATTTTGGGGTGAAGGGGAGCTGACCTCCCAAACCATGCTCAAGGAGCCTGGTGAGACACTTCCAGCGATGCTGGTCTGGCTGTGTGGACTGGACAGTTCAATGCTCAGACCCAGTTACTCTGCAAAAAGCACTGAGCACCTCTAGAGTCACAGCTGGTGGTGCTGGAAGTGCTTTGAGCACTCTCCTGGCCCCTACATTTGTCTTTATTCCAACATAATTTTTTAAAAGGGTTTTGTATGTGTGTGAAAAAAATTATTATGCACTCTTATGAAACAGATATAGCACATCAGGTAGGGCATTTGCCTTGCATGCGGCCGACCCGGGTTCAATTCCCAGCATCCCACATGGCCCCCTGAGCACCGCCAGGAGTGATTCCTGAGTTCAGAGCCAGGAATAACCCCTAAGCATCGCCGGGTGTAACCCAAAAAGCAAAATAATAATAATAATAAAAAGTAAATAAGAGAACCCTTTAAAAATGTTTCTGAGGAAGAGGTCCACAAAGGCCACAGGACCCCAGACGTCCAGACAAGTCCTAAAGCAATCTGAGTACACAGTTCGTGGGTACACTCCCTGGGTACCCGCATTCCAATACAAACAGGCCTGCCACCAGACGGCCCCCCTCCGCCCCCACCCTGGCCCAAATCCAACCACAAAGTCTGGCCCAGTGCTAACCAGGCAGGAGAGGCCTCATCCGCCTGGCCCCTCTCCATCCCCACCCCACCCCAACAGGGCACTTGACTGGGTCTGCAGGAGGCTCAACTGCTGACCCAGCCCTCTAGCCCAAGGCCCACCCCTCACCCGCCCTAGACTGGGTGGGGCCACCCTTTAAAAAGCTCTGATTTACAGTCAACATTTAGTTCCTCTCTGAGTCTCTGGGGCTTGGAGTTCAGAAGGAAGCTGAGAATCTTGCTGAACCCTGACTCACCCTTGCTGGTCCTGGGGTCTGGAAGATTGAAGGAGGGGACCCTTCAGCTCTGAGGTCAGCAGGGTGAAGTGGGGAGGCTGGTGGGGTGGACAGGGGGACCGGGTCCCCTTATCCTTGAACACTGAGCATCCTTTGAGCAGGGCTGGAAGGATTCCTGAGGGAGGACAGCAAAGGCCTCTTGACACCTGCCTCAGGGCAGTCTAGATGCACAGCGCCTAGGACTACACTTCTCAAAACAGATCCCCAAATTTCCCCTTTAGGGAGTGGGGTGAGCTGAAGTCAGGGTAAGGCATGTGGGGGGCAGAGAGCAGGGACCCAGCCCAGAAGTAACTAGGATCTGCCCCCAGAAGCAGGGCCCTCTCCACGCCTCTCTTTGGCCCTCGGACAGGCCTGAACACAGCAGGTCACTGCTAACCTGAAGCCAGGTGGCTTCATGAACTCTGATGGTGACTGAAGCCAGGCAGCTTCAGGATTCCCCCAGGCCTGCCCCAGCTAACCTCAGAGGGAAGGCCTGTTCTCAACGTCCCCTGTACCCCAGGTTTCCCTAGAGCAGCCCGGTGCCATGGCAACCCACCTGCTACCCATCTGCGCTCTCTTGCTGACCTTGTCCACCGCCACAGCCCGAGGATCCAGGGACTCTGTGGTCCTCAACCAGCCCTTCTCCACCATCTGGAACGCCGACACCCAGGGGTGCCTGGAGGATCACAACATAGATGTGGATGTCAGTGTCTTTGATGTGACAGTGAACCCAAATCAGGCCTTCCGTGGCCCTGACATGACCATTTTCTACAGCTCCCAGCTGGGCACCTACCCCTACTACACATCCAAGGGGGAGCCAGTGTTCGGTGGCCTGCCCCAGAATGCCAGCCTGGATACCCACTTGGCCCGCGCATTCCAGGACATCCTGGCTGCCATTCCTGAGTGCAATTTCTCTGGGCTGGGTGTCATTGACTGGGAGTCGTGGCGCCCACGCTGGGCCTTCAACTGGGACAGCAAGGACATTTACCGGCAGCGATCCAGAGCACTGGTCCGGGCAAAGCACCCCCACTGGTCGACTAGCCAGGTGGAAGAGGCAGCCAGGAAACAGTTCCAGGCAGCTGCACAGGCCTGGATGGGGGACACGCTTAAGCTGGGGCAGACACTGCGACCCGGTGGCCTCTGGGGCTTCTATCAATTCCCTGAATGCTTCAACTATTACGATCATAGCCCTCACTACACAGGCGAGTGCCCACTGAACATCCGTGATGAAAATGACCAGATGGGGTGGCTGTGGAACCAGAGCAGTGCTCTCTACCCAAGTATCTACCTGTCTGCCTCGCTGAAGGGCACTGGGAAGTCACAGCTGTTTGTGCGGCACAGAGTGGGCGAGGCATTCCGAGTGGCCAGGGGTGTTGGGAAGCCGCATCTGCCTGTGCTGCCGTACCTTGAGATCTTCTATGAAATGACAAAAACCTTTCTGCCCCTGGTGAGTGTCCTCCTTTGGTCCCAACTACCTCATAGCAAACCAGGCACCTGACTTAGTCTCTGAGGACGCAGAGACCTGGGATACTTTTATCCAGTCTTTCTCATGCCCTTTGGGTACCTATTCTATATGGGCACAGCACAGCCAATTCCACATTCATCAGAAAGATGCAGCTTCCACCTGCTTCTGGCACTCACTGGCTGGATTGGGGACAGGATTGGCTGTTCCCAGGGAAGGGGACTGCGTAAACTAGTGTCTTCATCGTCCCAGCAATGTGTTGTGAGCAGGGAGACCCCATAGCGCTCTGCCATCCCCTTCTTCAGGAAGAACTGGAGCACAGCCTTGGAGAGAGTGCAGCCCAAGGAGCGGCAGGAGTGGTGTTCTGGGTGAGCTGGGAGGACACAAGAACCAAGGTAAGGGGCTGCAGGTGAAAATAGGTGGTAGGGCCACCACTGAATAGGGAGTCCCTGGTGCCTACCCCCACCCCCTGCTTTCTATCATGCTCTTCCGGCTACTCCATGACCTAGGGAGAGTCTTGGCCATGCTGTCCCTGACACGCTCTCTCACACTCAGGAATCATGCGAGGGCATCAAGAGATATGTGGACACCATGCTGGGGCCCTTCATCCTCAACGTGACAAGTGGGGCTCGTCTGTGCAGTGAGGCCCTGTGCTCCAGCCATGGACGCTGTGTCCGGCGCCCCAGCCACCCTGATGCCCTCCTCATCCTCAACCCTGCCAGTTTCTCCATCAACCGCCAGCCTGGTGGTGGGCCCCTCACCGTGGAAGGGGACCTCTCACCTGAGGATCTGGAGCAGATGGCTACAGAATTCGAATGTCGCTGCTACCAAGGATGGAGTGGCGCAGGTTGTGAGCAGCAGGGCACATGGTAACTGGCCACAAGTCTCTCATACACACACACACACACACACACACACACACACACACACTCATTGGAGTACCTAATGCACTTAGCTTGCCCAGACTCAACAGTCTGCTCAGGGTCAGGGAAATGGCTCAAAGGGCTACAGTACATGATCAGGAGGCCAAAGGCCTCAGTTTCATACCTGATTCAGGACCTGGTGCCATCTTGCTCTTGAGCACAGAGCCCAAGGTAAGCCCTGAGCATGGGGTTGGTGTGGCCCAATAATGAAAATCAAAGAAGAGAATAAAAAGAAAGCACAAACAGGAAGAAGAGCTCTGGAGCTCCTAAGGTGTGATGGTCAGGCCAACAGCCCAGGATGACACCTAATTCACTCAGAAGCACCAGCCCCTGACACTAGAGCATGCATGTTTCTTGTTTGGAAAGCTAATTTTTGAGCACCAAAAATGATCGCAGCACAACCGATGGCTGGTTATGGGCATCTATATACAAACTTAAGCACTAATGTAACCCTTGCACATAAACTACTGCTACTAAGTTTCAATAACGTGTGTTCTAAAGTGTCCTCTCTGGGACTCGGGGCCAGGAAAGGCTGACTTCCCTCAGATCCAGTGCCTCTTCCGAAGTGGCTGCTTCCTAGCTCTTAGGAGGCTCCATCTAACGGTCTCACACTGGGTGTGGCGGGGGACCAGGCAGAAGCCAGGGCCGGGGACCTGGACAAAAACGAAGCTCAGTCCGAGCTGGGTGTTGTGTCGTCCCCGGCCGGGCCTCCCGGGGCGGAAATGAAGCAGGACCTAAAAAGGGGGACTCCGGAAGCCAGAAACCTGCCTGGCTGGCACCTGGCGGCGAGGAGCCTGAGGCCACGAGACGTGGCGCCTAAACTTAGGAGGGCAGAGTCTGAGGTTCACTGAGCGCCGGCGGCAGCTGTTGGCCGGGTCTGGCACGCAGAGGGCGCCGCCGGCCTCAACGGCTGCAGTGCGTCCGCCGCGTCGCTAGGGGTCAGCGCGGGCGGAGGCGCCTGCGCTCCAGACCCAGCTCGATGGCCCTCCGTGCCGAGTGAGGATGCGGAGCATCTCGGAGCGCAGCTTCGAACATGTCAATGTTGTACCGGCGGGAGCCGCGAATGAACATAGAGAGACAGCTCAGGATAGGCTAGTGAGTTTATTAGCGGCTCGGCGCTGAGGACCCCAAGTCAGAAGAAAAAGAGACTTGGAGCCCCGTTCGCTGAGAGGGTCTCTTTTATCCTCTAAAGGTGGGCTACAATCTATTTACATTCTTATCAGTGAAACAGGGGATACAGAGGTAATAAGTAAAAGGAAAACAATCAGTGCATGGTTGCCACATGGTATGGCCTTCAGGTGCTCAAAGAAAAACAGTCAGTGTCTTTATATTTTGCTCAATTCTGGTGCGGCCTTCAGGTACCATCTCTTGTGCACACCCATAAATCTGTTGGGCTCAGTGTGCTCCCATCAATCTGGTGGCTGCTGAGCCCTGAACTCCGTTAATTGGGGTCATAAAAGGAATGCTTCTTCCTCCCTTCTCTTGTTTAACTTAGGGGGCTAGTTTCAGTTTCCCAATCCCAATCACATTTTCTTAATTTTCATTACAGTTTCATAATCCCCATTACATATAGCTTCTTATTATTTGTCATTGTAACTTAGGTAGGTCATCAGACCTCCCCATCTAGGTCATTCGCTCTATCCAGAATCACATAGTGCTGCCTTAACCACCATCAATTTTATGGTGTCAATTCTTTCAGATACGAAAGTACCAGCCTGTTAAAAACACAAGGCCGTATAAGCAGGAGGATGATGGTTGCTAGGGGGTCCAACAAAGGCAGTAAATAGAGCACCCAAAACCTTAGCCCTGAGTAGGAAAAGCCTTGACCATTCTCCAGATGCCTCAGCTTCTTTACAGTCCTTCCTATAACTGTCAGATCTTAACTTTAACTATTCCAGACCTGTTAGTATAAAAACAGAATTCCTCCTGAAGAAAAACATATATCCCCCCCATTCTTTAGCAGTGAACAAATCTAGTCCCCCTCCTATTTTGTAATACCACACCCACCAGGGAGTCCATTTTGAGCTTGTAAATCCAAGGTGGTGTCAGCCAACTGTGGCATGTTTCCCCCGGCTTGAGCCAACAGCTCCTGTAGAAAGGGACGGATGTTCTGAGTCCTGCCATTCCCATGTCCAGGCTCATAGAAACTCTGAGGCTCATGCGTAGTGGCAAGATGATGACCCTCTTTCTCCGGCTCAAGTCGGTGGCAGTCTCTGTCTCTGGAATTGGATAGCTCTGGTTCCCTGGGGTGGCACCTATCTGTGGGAACCCCACAATGACGGCCCAGGTGCAGCTCCAGTTTGCAGAAAAGAAATATAAGCAGTGCCTCCGCACAGAAAAGCAATGCCATTTACCAGCGGGCAAATTTGAGATTCCCCTGATGGCATCCCTGGTATAGGAACCCTCTGTTTGCAAATCTCACCCACTTTCTCCCACTCCCAGCCTGCCCTCTCAGAGGAGAGCCTGGAACCTCCACTCACTCAATCATGCCAGGGGGTGGCATTCCCTGGGAAGTGCCAATCCTGGCTCCCACTTATAATCAACATAAGAAGCTGAGAAGCTTAAAGGGCCTTCTCTTAGGCACAACCAACAGTCTCCAGCTAGCCCAGAATTGGTGTTGTTTAGAAGCCCAGGAGGGGCTGGAGAGATAGCACAGCGGGTAGAGCATTTGCCTTGCATGAGGCCGACCTGGGTTCGAATCCCAGCATCCCATATGGTCCTCTGAGCACTGCCAGGAGTAATTCCTGAGTGCAGACCTAAGAGTAAGCCCTGTGGATTGCCGGGTGTGACCCCCCCCCCCCCAGAAAAAAGCCCAGGAATTTTCAGGGAGTCAAAAATGTAGGCTGGGGCAGCCAAAAGTGGGACAGCTCACTGCAGCTGGCAAGGGTAAATTGAGACCTCCTTTTTCATTCCCCCACTCAGAGATGAAGCCCTGACTGCAGTTAGGAAATGGGGTGTCAAGTTTCTCTGGCATTTCTGTTCTGAGTTTGGGCCTAGTTCACATAGGGGACCTATGCAGTCAGGGAGTCTTAGGAAGAGGAAAGCCTGGAATTCTGTAATACCATGCCTCAATTGCCTGCATCCATGGTTCCGCATTAATCACCATCTGTAATGTGATGGACTTAAGCTTAGAGGAAATAAACCTGACAAGAATGTTAAGGCCAGGTGCTGTCAGCTATGATAAGCCGAGGCCTGCCATGGGGCGAGAAGAGCAGGACCCAAACAAGCCATGTTCCCTTCCAAGCATGCTGACGTGGCCTTGCGTCTTTCTTAAGACCATTTTCTGAGCTTGCCCTGTCTGTTCCCCTTGTCATGTTGCTTATGGAGTGGGACAAGGGTGTGGATATCTATTAGGGAAAAATAAGGAGACAGTAAGAGACTGAAGGTTATTAGAGGTTATTCTTGGCTTTTTGAGGGGGTACTTTCTGGTAAAGCAATTACAGATTAGCAAGACCCCAATTAAAACAACTTTGAACAGAGCCTAAATTCCTAGTGCCAAACCCATTGTGTGCCTTAAAGGGTGTGGCTGATTTTGCTCTGGATTCTAACTGTAAGTTTTATTTCCCTCCATGGACCAAGAATATGACTTTTGCTCCTACATAAAAAAAAAAGTCTTTATTAAAAAAAAAAAAAAAAGAATATGACTTTTGCACCAAAACCATGTCCCTTGGAATGAAGCGTGGCTTTCTCTCCACCTTTATGATTAAATTTTCGAGGTGACTTAATAAACTGGACTTGTTCTTTTGCATAAACACCACAGGATCGAAGAACTTTCCATCTGGGGAACCCCATTAGTTACTGAGAATTCCGAGGATTTGGCTAAGACAGAGCAGAGACACCAATAAAGGCATTTATATTTCACATCGGGGCTACCTCAGGCCCAGCCATTGTAAAGATATGAAGATCAGATCCCACAATGGGCTGAAGGTGGCCTCGGGTCTGCAGGTTGAGCTGGAGGTAGCCATGGGCTTCTCACTTTCTGTAGGAGTGTCCTGGCAAAAAGGAGTCCATCCCATCCCTTCCCTTCTTCAAGGCTGGGAGAGAGATCCTGGTTTCCAGGTTTTTCTTGATGCTGAGAGCAGAGCCCAGGCTGAGTCAGTCATTGCATATCTGCAGATTCCTCATTTTCCATAGCAGAAACGATTTCCAGTGCTTTCTTGAGCTGGCCTGCCTCTACTGTGTTCCTGAGGTTTGTAGGGTACTTGAAGTAGTACCTGTTAAATATCTGCTCCTGTCATTTAGAGCAATCCCTTGACTCCATTTCCCTGGACAAGGGCTTTGGGGTCCTATAGATGGTTTCCTGTCTGCATGAGGGGTAGACACTATTACAGTAAGGAAACTCTTCCTATCTGAAGTTATGCAAACCAACATAGTTCATGAAGCATCAAAAACTTACTGAAGGTACAAAGGAGAGAAAAGCAAATACTTTACTCACAGTGAGATGCAATATACCCTTTGCTGTGGGTGCTAGTCAAAAGATGGTTCTTCGGGACATATAGAGCTAAAGCATACAGTTTAACAGCATCATGTCTGACTCATTTAGTTCCATGTTGAAAACTTTAATTTCTAATTATTGAAGAGCACTTTAACAGGAGTCCAGACTACCTGTTTAATAACTTTTCCATATATCTTGCCAAGAACAGTTCTGCGGATGAAAGGAGATATTTAGGGGGCTGGAGCAATAGCACAGTGGGTAGGATGTTTGCCTTGCACATGGCCGACCTGGGTTCAATTCCCAGCATCCCATATGGTCCCCTGAGTACCACCAGGAGTAATTCCTGAGTGCATAAACTAGGAGTAACCCTGTGCAATGCCAGGTGTGACCCAAAAAGCAAAAAAAAAAAAAAGGATATTTAAATAACAGTCCAGTTTGATTAGTTCCTTTCCTTAAAGTGCAACCTCTAAATTTCTACACATTTCTTTACAATCTCAAACCTTCTGCACATTCTTTTACATTCATTAAGTCTAAATGTAAGTCTGTAACTGTACCTCAAAATAAACTTTTTTTATTCCATTTATTTCTTATAGTCACATCTCACAGTTTTAACCTCCTTATTTTACTGAACTCAAATACAGCTTGATCTCCCAAGAAATTTGGAAACAAGTTGCTAATCATTATCTCATTTAGCATGACAAAACTGTACTCTGCAGTACTCTTTCAAAAGCATTATATCAGTTCTATAGATATTCAAAAGGTTTATAATACAATTAAAGTTGTCTTGGCAAAAGTTCACGTCACATTAGGAATTAAGCAGAACATAGTAAAAGTTTTATCTTTAGAATTCTAATTTCTAGGAAAACATATAAGAAAATTAAAACACTCACAGATTACCATGAAACAGTTATGGATGTTACACTTGTAGAGAAAGCTCTCTTAAGATCAAGACTAGGTTGATACCTGGTGACAAAGCTTACATGAAACAAAGTTATCCTAACATTAGTATGCATTTTCATGTACTGGG